ATATGCACATGCTCTTACTTTTATCTAATAACTTATGTTCCTCTTGTATTTAGAGGCTTTTGCACCAGTAAGAAAACAAAATAAGAGGTGGAAACCCCCCAGAATGTGGCAGGTTTCTCGGTAATCTACCTGAGGTGTCCTTCCATTGTTTCGATCCGGCTTTTTGGGCCGTGCAGAACCTTCCCCATCGTGTCCTCAGTGATTGTGCTTTTTCTGTATCCCTCCAGAACCGCGCCGATAAGAAAAGGCTGAACATTATTATTGTATCGGAGGGTGCCATCGATAGCCATAACAAGGCAATAACCCCCGATTATATCAAGGAAGTAAGTATGGTGGAAAACCTTGACGCTTCCCTTCATCTCATGGTGAACTATTTGTTTTCCTTCATTTTGGAACACCATGAGATTTTCCACCTTATATGTGTTGAATTGCCACCTTTTATTCAGTTTGAATCACTTCATTTTCCCTTTCACACACTTTGCACGTGCACCAGCATGGCAGGAAATGTTCTGCATGACCCCCCCCTCCTCTGTTGTTTTGTGTGCACAACCTCTGTTATTTTTGGTATTTTTCTAGAATACTTTTAACTCATTGGCTGCCAAAGACGTCTATAGACGTCTTTTATGTTTTTCAACGAGAGTGGATTGGGGACGATCTGCTAAAGCTTGTCCGTAAATATCAGCTTCTAGACAGAGTATGTAGTAACAAATTGACCCTCTAGGGGGCAGTGCCACTTTTGATGGGAGATGAGCATAGACTGTAGGCAAATAAGAAAAAGCTAACGGTTCGCTATGAGAGAACATGTCGCCGGTGAGACGCAAGTCCAGGAAGAACGGAAAAAGGTAGAAACAAAAAAATTTTCCTGATGAAAGAAGAGAGTCTACTCTTTCTTTTGGTGTGTTCGGTGTTTACATAGTCATAGCACAAACTATTCTGTGGCTCTTGAAAAATCAGTCAAAATGCTCAAAAAACTCTGGCAGTATGGGACTCTCTGTTCTAAAAAATGGCTGGCAGTCAATGAGTTAAAATAAGCGATATATTTTCTTAATTCTATACATCGTTTGTTCGCTGGCTTTTGCTAACCCCCTGCTCTCTGTAACCAGTTGGTAGTGCGTTGTCTGGGTTTTGACACCAGGGTCACCATCTTAGGCCATGTGCAGAGAGGTGGGACCCCCTCTGCCTTTGACAGGATCCTGGTGAGTAGTTCCCAGATTTGAAATGAACCTCCGGGTGTCGGTGGTTTAGCCAGACGTGAGTTGTTTATAAATCTTTCCGCAGGCTAGTCGAATGGGCGTGGAGGCGGTTCTGGCTTTGCTGGAGGCGTCTACCAACACGCCGGCCTGCGTCGTGTCTCTGGTCGGAAACCAGGCCGTGCGACTTCCACTTATGGAGTGTGTTCAGATGGTAAGAGTGTGTGTGTGTGGTGTTAGATCAAAAAAAAAGTAGACATTTAGGCTTAGTTTTTGTTTAAATTCACTGTTAAACTTTGAAAAAGAGCAATTCTTAACATACAGGTTGAGTCAAAAGTAAGAGGACATTGTTTTATTTCAGAAACTAAAGAATAATATTACATATATGACACCCCAGCATTAGTGGGAGGGGCTATATTTTAGGCTATGCCCGGAACATGGCCGCCATCTTGAAAGCCGCCATATTGGATCCATGGCAAGTTTTTCCAATAGGAAGGCAGTCATGTAACATATCAAACAAGAGCCAAATTGACTCATAAATCGATTTCAGGCTTCAGATTAGAAATATTTTTTAGGGTTAAAAAGTTATCAACACTGGAAGTTGGACAAGTTTGACTCAACCTGTAGTTTACCAGTAGCTCACGTTCTACATTAATTATGTATCACAGTCTATCAGATTAAAGATGCTGCCTTTGAATGAGACATAAAGCATCATTTTTATGAGGAAATCTGTGATGGATTTAAGACAACACGAGGAAAAATAGAAAAACCTGGTGAAACACCCATTTAAAAATGGGCCACTTAGAACATCTAGAGTACTTGGCTGATTGCTTTTATGTTGCCTATTCAATACAGGAAGTCGTTATCTAATTAAAAAGCTTTTAAAAAAAACAGAGAAAACTAACTGATTTTTTTGTTTTGTCTCCAGACCCAAGAAGTACAGAAGGCCATGGATGAGAAGAAATTCGAAGAGGCCGTCCGACTGAGGGGCAGGTTTGTTTCCCGGCTTTCCTAAAATGGTCATGTGACCCAGCACATTGATGAGGAATTCATTTTAAATGTTTTTTCGCAGCTTTTTGATGTAATCCACCTGATTCCTGTAGCTGTATTGACTCTAAATGCCCACGGGGCAAACAGCGAATCTTTTTGTTTTAATTTTTAATTTATTTGTTTATTTGACAGGGACAGTACAATTAAACATCACAACACAATCAAACAAGTTGCCGATGTCCAAGTACATAAGGCTTGTATCCATGGGCTAATTTGTAGCCTTCGTCACTGGTTAGGCTTTTAAAAGGTGTTAGCATTAAGGGGGAGGGGGGTTAGTAACGACACACAGATGCATAAGAAACAAGAGAAGTTAAAAAAATAAAAATATATATAATGTATTTATTCATTTCCGTCCCCAGGAGCTTCGAGAACAACCTGAGCACCTACCGACTTCTGTCCTACCGCAAAGCGGACTCCGAACTCCCAAACGTAAGCACCACTA